TTCCTCGCTTCCTGCAGCTGGGTCCGCGTTCGATCCCCGATGGTTCAAGCGGTTGTTCACCGGGCCTTCGTCACCCCGTCTTCACATTTTAGCTCCTGGTCCTTATACATCTCTTCCCAGCATGACGCTAGTCCCACCGTCTTAAGTAGCACTTTCTCCTCATAATTACCATGGCCTCTCGTCCTCTTGGCTTCTCTTCTGCCCTCTCCTCCTTCCTCGTCCCCTCCTTCCTCTTCCCCTCCTTCCCCCTCTCTTTCCTTCCTCGTCCCCCTTCCTCGCTCTCCTCCTTATCCCTCGGTCCTTCCCGCCTCCCCTGACCACTGGCGGGATGGACTCCAACTCTTCATAGTCCGATGAAGAGTTGGTTTAGAAAGACGGATTTTATACCGGTATTAGACGCGTATAAGGAGTATATTAACTTAGTAAACGATCAACTTTATGACCGTCGCCTCCGGCCATAAATAGTTAGCTTTTTCGTTTGCGAGAGTTCTCGGAATTCGCCAAAAATTAAGGATAAACAAATATATATATATATATATATATATATATATATATATATATATATATATATATATATATATATATATATATAAATGTGAAGGCTTGTAAATCATGCTGTAAGGATGTAATACAGAAGGATGACCGGACGTTCCCGTCGTGAGGTTGTCCGTCTCGGACGATTTGCTCGAATTAAGCTCCGAGACGTCTGGAGATTCTGTCGAGTTGGGTTAAGCCGTTACGGTGTTTTTTTTAAAGATAAGGTGAAATGTTTCAGGTCTCACAATACTCCGTGGTGAGTGTTTGGAGGGTGAGTGCACACCTGGTGTGGGTGAGGAGTGCACACCTGGTGTGGGTAAGGAGTCCACACGTGGGTACACGTGTGGACAAGAACGTACACAGCGCCCAAGGCGGCGAAGGAGACAGGAAGGAAGGCGGTAGTGGATATCATCTCTCGGGAACCGGCGGGGGAGATTTATAATGAGAGACTTTGGTAATCAGCTTTTATCCATGGGGTGGGTATAACGGGGCGGGGGGGGCATCCCCTTTACCCAAGGGGTGGGGGTAAGGGGGCACCCTTTACCCATGGGGTGGGTGTAAGGGGGAGGCACCTTTTACCCATGGGGTGGGTGTAAGGGGGGGCACCCTTTACCCATGGGGTGGGTGTAAGGGGGCACCCTTTACCCATGGGGTGGGTGTAATGGGGCACCCTTTACCCATGGGGTGGGTGTAAGGGGGCACCCTTTACCCATGGGGTGGGTGTAAGGGGGGGCACCCTTTACCCATGGGGTGGGTGTAAGGGGGCACCCTTTACCCATGGGGTGGGTGTAAGGGGGCACCCTTTACCCATGGGGTGGGTGTAATGGGGCACCCTTTACCCATGGGGTGGGTGTAATGGGGCACCCTTTACCACAGGGGTGGGGTAAGGGGGCACCCTTTACCCATAGGGTGGGGGTGTAACTGGGGGGGGGGCGACAAAGGCTGCATCAGCCAGCCAGAGAGAGACGGCGGTGCCAATCAGGACTATTAAAGCCGCTATTAACCAACAAGACCAATTCAACAACTGAATTCATAAACAACTTTGAGAAGCAATTGGAAAATAAACACAAAAGTTCAAGATAATACACATTACAAAAAGAAACCCAGACCCCATTATCCTTGACAACCGCCTTATCAAATGTGCGGATGTAGGAAGAATACTGGGACTCGTGAGCAATAAAACAGGGATAAAAATTTACGTAAAGGACAGGTTTATCAGAGCCAAAACAGTCTAGGGAAAACTGAGGAGATTCCGAAGCCTCAGTACAAACATATACTGTTACACTTATATAAGGCATGATGACCAGACCACACACTAGAATGTGAAGGGACGTCGACGCAATCGACTTGAGAATGGTCCAGGACGGACCGAAACGTCGTCGTCCCTTCACATTCTAGTGTGTGTGTCTGGTCATCATACTTTAGCCACGTTATTGTGACTCATTGCCTGCACTTATATGTTCAGCCGCATCTAGAGTATCCCCCAGTACCACTACACACCTTAAAGAAAACTAGCATGCAGAAACTAGAAGCAGTACAAAATAAGGCACTAAGGAGAGCAGCAAAACACCGTCCACCATGTGATCAGACAGTCCAGGAGCTCCAGGAACTCCGGAACATACAGCCACTAAGTTTCAGACTACAGCGCCAAGCTTCCAGGGTGTGGATCACCATTGAATTGTTGGAGAACCCAATGTTAAAAAGATTACTCCAAGATGAGACGCCCCCCTCCCACAGCTGGTGGGCCCAAGAGCCTCGATTTATTAGAAGAAAACCCAGCCCCGCAGTACATAATTCCCAGATGAAATACTGACTAGAAATCTCTCCCCCGATAAGTGCATAACAAATTTGATTATATAAATATTATATAAATATATATTATATATATATATATATATATATATATATATATATATATATATATATATATATATATATATATATATATATATATATATATATATATATTATATATATATATATATATATATATATATATATATATATATATATATATATATAAATATATATATATATATATATATATATATATATATATATATATATATATATATATATATATATATATATATATATATATATATATATATATCAATAATAATAAAATAAATAGCCATAAACAGAACACAACATGTGTGGAAGCATCGGAGTGTGTATATGAGAATGCTACACAGTATTCATCTATAGACATCCAAATATGCTGAAACACATGTGTAGAACCTCTCACACACACACTCACAGCTCCCTGACAAGAGGGGAGACAGCTTAGCTTAGCTGCCAACACCCACACATCGTGTCAGCAAGGCGGACAGCCCGCCTTGCTTTCATAACTCTCACTGTATTTCCTCATGTCTAAACTTTCCCTTCACCTGTGCCCCTCCGTCCTCTTTACTCAAAAAATAAATGAATAATTATAACAAAAGACGGGGAGGTAACGGCCACCTTGCCCTTACAAGTTGATAGTTTATAAGTGTTGAATGGATTGTTCGCCGAGGTGTCTCGCCTTGTTCCCGGCGGTGACCGGCTGACAACACTCCTGGCCCGTGTGGGAGACTTGTCTCGCGGGCTGGCTGGCTGGCTGGCTGGCTGACTGGCTGGCTGGCTGGCTGCCTGGCTGGCTGGCTGGCTGGCTGGCTGGCTGGCTGGCTGCCTGGCTGGCTGGCTGGCTGGCTGCCTGGCTGGCTGGCTGGCTGACTGCCTGGCTGACTGGCTGACTGCCTGCCTGGTTGCTTGACTAGCTGGTTGCCTGGCTGGTTGGCTGGCTGGCTGGTTGCCTGGCTGGCTGGTTGCCTGGCTGGCTGGTTGCCTGGCTGGTTGCCTGGCTGGCTGGTTGCCTGGCTGGTTGCCTGGCTGGCTGGTTGCCTGGCTGGCTGGTTGCCTGACTGGTAGCCTGGCTGGCTGGTTGCCTGGCTGGCTGCATGCCTTCATGGCTGTAGTTTCAATTACACTTTTAATGTCTTAATGGTACAAAGACAAATCCAGGTTTTTGTCTTATTTTTGCCTTTTAAATACTTTGTTATATTGTCTAAGAAAGGTAAGTGAAGGGCAAGACTAACCTCTGGCACGCGTGACCCCCAAAGGTTGTAGACACGTCAGGAAATTTGAGTATCCCTTGTGTTGTTAAACCCCCACCCCTTATATATATATATATATATATATATATATATATATATATATATATATATATATATATATATATATATATATATATATATATATATATATATATAATCTCATTGCTGCTAAATACAGTCGTTGGTGGTCAAAGCATACAATTAGTAAAAATGGAAACAAACATTGCAGACCATGCAGTTAACAGGAGCACCATTGGGTGCTACCTGGTGTCTACCAAGTGTAGCTTCCGGGAATCAATGGCCCCACGGCCCGGTCTCCAACAACTGTAACCCCCTCTTGCTATCTGTAAACCTTTGTACCCCCGCCCACGGATTGGGTATAAGGTGCATAATAAATAACCAATAACCGAAAAGGACTTATAATAACCTCTTTATTAGTACCCTTAAAAAAAATATTGGAGAATTGTCTATAAAATGACATTGTTATCTAACTTACACTTTTATTAAGTCAGGGTTAATTACTGGATATCATAATATGTCAACAAATGGGGGGGAAGGGAAGGGGGTTTGGATTGGGGGTGGAAGTGGGGTGTGAGGGAGAGGGGGGTTAAGTTTCAATAACATCGACCCCCTGAAGGGCCACGAAGTCTATTGAACTATAATGTTTCAACAAACTGTTTAAGGGCTTGCGCCTAACCTGCCCCTACACACCTCCACGATATTAATGATGGCGCGTCTGAAAACGCTGCACACACACACACACACACACACACCTCCCACACCTGCAATTCGTCGGACGTCGAAAATAAGACTGTGGCAACAAATGAAAAACGTACCTCATATGTGCGTCGATTTCTGTCCCTCGACGAGTCTGTATGTTCTTACCTACAATGACATCAAAGTAAAGGATTAATATGCATTAGTCAAATGCCTTTGTAACATTGTAATCCTCACACAACCCCGAATATAACAACAATCCTACGAGACTCTCTCACAATACTATAACTCTGTATATAAGCAGCACAGGCGAAGGTAGCAGCATTCTGGACTCAATGAGGTCGTTACCTTGTTCAGATGGAAGAGGACGCTGGTGGGGGAGGAAGGGGGGGGGAAGGTACATGGTCAGCCATGTACCTTGGACCACGTGACCAAGCCCGCGGTCACCACGTACCGAATAATCGGGCTTTCCGGCCCCTTCGTTTCCGGCGTATTCCACTCTCGTTAAAACACTTTCTAGAGATGGGAACGGATAAAGTCAACACTCGCGCCCGTGTAAACGTTACAATTTCGGTCTGTGAACGAACTGGTAAAGCGCTACAAGTGGAGACTCGTCACCTCTCACCTTCACTGACGCGCGCAGACGCCTCAATGACCGGCCCCGCCGAAGCAATGGTTCGAGATCTCCAGTTGTCGAGTGAACCCGCTCATGAGCACACTCGAAGCCAGGTGGTGTTTCGGCCCGTCATTATTAACGATGACCAAATGCTCGTTAATCCAGTCGCTCAATCTCCTCCGTTTATGAATACAAAACGGTTAACGCGACGACTCACAACTGCTGACGTTCGAATACCTCTTGAGCAATGCTTTGCTAACGACCTGTGTTCGAATATCAACTTTGTAAATGCTTCATTCACGTACTTGAAAAGCAAGTAATTGCCAACAGAACCTAAAACACCTAATCTAAATATACACTCTATGTTTATATACAGTAATATTTATGTATATTAGAGAAAATGAATATTTTGGATAACTTAAAATGTTAAAACTGATGAATACGTCACTGGAGTCCGCCGCTGAAGGCAATGATCGCTGTTTGAAGACGAGTTGCCAGATGCTCCACTCACGCACTAACATTATTTGTTGAGAAAATGTCGATTTTGAATAGTCAATGTAATCAATCTGATTAATACACAGTTTAATCAAGCTGATTAATACACAGTGTAATCAATCTGATTAATGCACAGTGTGATCAAACTGATTAATACGCATGTAATCAAGCTGGTTAATACAGTGTATCGAGCTGATTATTATACAGTGTGATCAAGCTGATTAATACACAGTGTAATCAATCTGATTAATACAGTGTATCGAGCTGATTAATACGCAGTGTGATGAAGCTGATTAATATACAGTGTGATCATCCTGATTAATACACATGTAATCAAGCTGGTTAATACAATGTGATCAAGCTGATTAATGCCCAGTGTGATCAAAGTGACTAACACATAGTGTGATCAAACTGATTAATACAGTGTGATCAAACTGATCACATAACATAACATCAAAACATAACATGCATAATCCTCATATCAACATAACAACATAATCAAACTAACATAACACAGTGTGATCATACAGTTTAATACATAGTGAGTGTGATCATACTTATTAATACACAGTGGGATCATACTGATTAATACACAGTGTGATCATACAGTTTAATACACAGTGTGATCATACTGATTAATACACAGTGTAATCATACAGATTAATACACAGTGTGATCATACAGTTTAATACACAGTGTGATCATACTGATTAATACACAGTGTTAATATTTTTGCCTTCTGATATAAATGAATATATCTGGACGGTAGAATGTTATGTACAATTACGTCTAGAATAGAATAGAATAGAATAGAATAGAATAGAATAGAATAGAATAGGTTAGGTGTACCGGTTCTATTGGCAGTTTAAAAAAAATCGAATCACTTTTTCAAGAAACAACCCAACAGTCAGCGTGACACATCCCAACAGTCAGCGTCTGACACATCCCAACAGTCAGCGTCTGACACATCCCAACAGTCAGCGTCTGACACAACCCAACAGTCAGCGTCTGACACAACCCAACAGTCAGCGTCTGACACAACCCAACAGTCAGCGTCTGACACAACCCAACAGTCAGCGTCTGACACAACCCAACAGTTAGCGTCTGACACAACCCAACAGTTAGCGTCTGACACAACCCAACAGTTAGCGTCTGACACAACCCAACAGTTAGCGTCTGACACAACCCAACAGTTAGCGTCTGACACAACCCAACAGTCAGCGTCTGACACAACCCAACAGTTAGTGTCTGACACAACCCAACAGTTAGCGTCTGACACAACCCAACAGTTAGCGTCTGACACAACCCAACAGTTAGCGTCTGACACAACCCAACAGTTAGCGTCTGACACAACCCAACAGTTAGCGTCTGACACAACCCAACAGTCAGCGTCTGACACAACCCAACAGTCAGCGTCTGACACAACCCAACAGTCAGCGTCTGACACAACCCAACAGTTAGCGTCTGACACAACCCAACAGTCAGCGTCTGACACAACCCAACAGTCAGCGTCTGACACAACCCAACAGTTAGCGTCTGACACAACCCAACAGTCAGCGTCTGACACAACCCAACAGTCAGCGTCTGACACAACCCAACAGTCAGCGTCTGACACATCCCAACAGTCAGCGTCTGACACAACCCAACAGTCAGCGTCTGACACAACCCAACAGTCAGCGTCTGACACAACCCAACAGTTAGCGTCTGACACAACCCAACAGTCAGCGTCTGACACAACCCAACAGTCAGCGTCTGACACAACCCAACAGTCAGCGTCTGACACATCCCAACAGTCAGCGTCTGACACAACCCAACAGTCAGCGTCTGACACAACCCAACAGTCAGCGTCTGACACAACCCAACAGTCAGCGTCTGACACCACCCAACACTCAGCGTCTGACACAACCCAACAGTCAGCGTCTGACACAACCCAACAGTCAGCATCTGACACAACCCAACAGTTAGCGTCTGACACAACCCAACAGTCAGCGTCTGACACAACCCAACAGTCAGCGTCTGACACAACCCAACACTCAGCGTCTGACACAACCCAACAGTCAGCGTGACACAACCCAACAGTCAGCGTCTGACACCACCCAACACTCAGCGTCTGACACAACCCAACAGTCAGCGTCTGACACAACCCAACAGTCAGCGTCTGACACAACCCAACAGCGTCAGCGTCTGACACAACCCAACACTCAGCGTCTGACACAACCCAACAGTCAGCGTCTGACACAACCCAACAGTCAGCGTCTGACACAACCCAACAGTCAGCGTCTGACACAACCCAACACTCAGCGTCTGACACAACCCAACAGTCAGCGTCTGACACAACCCAACAGTCAGCGTCTGACACAACCCAACAGTCAGCGTCTGACACAAGCCAACAGTCAGCGCCTGACACAACCCAACAGTCAGCGTCTGACACAAGCCAACAGTCAGCGTCTGACACAAGCAGCTTGGTAATGTTGATGTGTTATCACATTATAACCAGATTACCTTTGTCAGGGACAAGATAACCATTACCGCTTAGTGCTCTAAATCTCTTGTCAAAAACATTTTGGGAATTTATTTCATTAATGCTGTGATATATATCAGATAACGGGCAGCGATAACACCGTACAGGAAATTAACTCGGCATAAACGAAAAATGACCTTTCGTTATTGACAAAAAAATTAGAAATTGATAAGTTGTGAGATGTCTCCCTCGTTGGTAGCCCCTCGCGGCTTATCTTATCTCTGCAGTTTGCATGCCAGTTGCAGATTCTAATCTGCAATAAATTGAGACTTGGGATAATTGGCTACTTGGTGAGAAATCTGGAGTAAATTGATTCCAGTTAAGAATTCGCAGCTATATTTCTTCCCCTTTACTCCCCCTTTCTTCCCCCTTCTCCTGTTATTCTTATTCGTCTTCCCCCTTCTCCTGTTATTCTTATTCGTCTTCCCCCCTTCTCCTGTTATTCTTATTCGTCTTCCCCCTTCTCCTGTTATTCTTATTCGTCTTCCCCCTTCTCCTGTTATTCTTATTCGTCTTCCCCCTTCTCCTGTTATTCTTTATCGTCTTCCCCCTTCTCCTGTTATTCTTATTCGTCTTCCCCCTTCTCCTGTTCTTATTCGTCTTCCCCCTTCTCCTGTTATTCTTATTCGTCTTCCCCCTTCTCCTGTTATTCTTATTCGTCTTCCCCCTTCTCCTGTTATTCTTATTCGTCTTCCCCCTTTCCTCCACGTGACGTCTTGCCCGATTGATTGATTGATGAAGATTAAGCCACCAAAGAGGTGGCACGGGCATGAATAGCCCGTAAACGTCTTGCTATTCAAGAAGGGGTCCTGCACCCTCGTTGTTGTTGTTGTTGTTATAGATTCAGCTATTCGGAACAAGTTCCAAGTAGCACGGGCTATGGTGAGCCCGTAACTTACCTGGCACAGGAGCGGGGCAAATAGCACGGGCTATGGTGAGACCGTATGTTGGCCAAGCTGTCTAGGGTGAGGTAGGGGGTGGTGTTGTGGCTCTTGGGCTCCTTGTGAGGGCCGCTCCTGCTGGTGGGTCACCCTTGGTGGCCCCTTCCTCCTTGCTAGTGGAAGGGGCCAGTAAGGGACCCCTTACATTTTTATCTCTCCATATGATTCCCTTTCTCTATCATTCTTTCCTTATTTCCACCCCCCCTCTCTGTCACCCTTTTCCTATCACCACACCATTCGTTATCATCGTTCTCATACCACCCTTTAATTCCTCACCCTTTTCATGAACTATAAACTTTTTCCCTTCTCCTTCTTTTAACACACTCTCTCTCTCTCTCTCTCTCTCTCTCTCTCTCTCTCTCTCTCTCTCTCTCTCTCTCTCTCTCTCTCTCTCTCTCTCTCTCTCTCTCTCTCTCCTATAGTTATCATCATTCAATAACATCCCCAACATCCTTATTCCATTCCCTCTTCCTTGCTTCCATCTCCTGCTTCCTAACTTTCCTTAAATGCCTTCCTTTCTCGCTCATTCCCTCCCTCGCTTTTTGTGTCGATGGTCTTGTGCTTTACGACGTCCCAGAAAGCAGCCGAGACGTGTGACAGGCGAAGCCTCAATCTAACCAAAAGGATAAGAGACAGACTAAGATGGCTCGTGTTGTCTTGTTTGGGGCGGGCCACGGCAGATATGCCCCTCTGTCTTCCGTTCTTCCTGTTGGGGGGGGGGCGTCCCCCACCATGATTAGGCCTATACGGAGGCAATGGCTTCCTCGTTGTTACCAGTCAATCAGTCAATCAATGTCAATCGTTCCCTCGCCATCTACCTCCCTCCCTCACTCTCTCCCTCACTCTCTCCCTCATTCTCTCCGTCCCTCCGCCCCGAGGACAGTCACCGGCCCTCGACAGGACTCTTGGTAATATATTCAGTAAATAATGTTTGGCGTTGTGTCGAGCCGTGACTCGCTGGTGTCTTGTATTGATTGATTGATTGTTGCCGCCGAAGGCGACTAGTTTATTGTGCACCCCATACTCATCCTGTGAGCGGTAGCGTAAAAGCATTACAGAGGGGCACAAAAGGTCTTTATCAGACCTCATCTTAGATTATTACATAAACAATTTCTTCAATCCTTCACACCTTATATTGATTGTCTTCCTGAGCAATGTGTTGTCTTCTGTGCACACCAGATACTTGTCGAATGGCGGGAGAGAGAGAGAGAGAGAGAGAGAGAGAGAGAGAGAGAGAGAGAGAGAGAGAGAGAGAGAGAGAGAGAGAGAGAGAGAGAGAGAGAGAGAGAGAGAGAGGGAGAGGGAGGGAGGATATATAGAAATGGTGAACACAGAGGAGAGAAAAGCAGGAACAGGAAGAGGAGATATAGAAATAAGGAATGCTAATGAAAAGGCCAAATAGGCGAAAATGGGAGGAAGAGGGAAAGGAGAGAGAGGGGATCATCCGATGGGAGGAGGGGGGATAGTTGTGGAAAAGAAGGGGAAAACGGAATGGGTGTAACGTAGTGAACGGTGCAGCCAGCTTAATTACAACCAATTGAACCCCTCCTAGTTCGACCCCCCCCCCCCCCCCAGGCCGAGACGTTTGGGCACTTCTCCTAACACTTTTCTCTGGCCTGGTCGACGACCGGGCCGCGGGGACGCTAAGCCCCGGAAGCACCTCAAGGTAACACCAGATGCCTTTAGTAACCGACCATTAAATATGCCTCCGAGAATTAGGCATCAGTAGGGGTTCATACATCCCTTACGAGGTCAGTCGTAGACCTATTGGGAACTCGATTAAAAACAAAAGGCTTCCAAAATGGTGGCTTTGTTTGTATATTAAAGCTCCGAAAATTGTCAACTCTTTATTATTACTATAAACAACCTCGTATATAATGTTTCGGGGCTCATAAAGTGTTTAATAAATGCAAACAAAGCCGCCATGATCGAGAATAGATGTAGAGGTTTCGTAAAGGGGGGGGGGGGTTGTGGTAAACATCGCCCGGTGCCGGTGATATTATGACTTCGTGCAGCATAGTCCGTACATATGTGTGAGAGATGCTGACTCTTCTGGCGTGTTGGGTGTGTAGGTGGCCGGCCAGGTGTGTGTATGTGTGTGTGTGTGTGTGTGTGTGTGTGTGTGTGTGTGTGTGTGTGTGTGTGTGTGTGTGTGTGTGTGTGTGTGTGTGTGTGCGTGCGTGCGTGCGTGCAACAAGGGTAGCTTTTAGTCGACAGGTGTTGTGAATAGTTGTGGAAGGGAGAAGACTCCTTCTCCAGGGCTGTGCATAGTTGCATCAGATGCAACTGTACAGTCCGTCCTCTTCAGTCGCCACAAATGATACAAATGAAATACTAAACCACACGACCCTAACCTAATCCAACCTAATCTAACCAATCGACCCACGCAAAGAAAATGTAAATGATTGCCAGTCGCTACAACCATTCATAGTCTCCCCCACATTTGGTCCATTGGGGGAACTTGAACGTCAAAACATGGTTGTATTATATGAGAAAACAGGTTGAGATATAGTGTCCCAGAGGTGTCTATAATGACTGGCACGAAGTCCGTCTCGGTCGAGGTAACTAACATCTCTAGGTCAGGAGCGTGAAGTCAGGTGACAGTCCCTGACTTCACGCTACTCACGGTGTCCTAAACTTCGCTGAAGCTGGACTCGAGTCCGGACTCGAGTCTGTGTCACTCACAGCATGTCGTGGTACGTGGGCCAAGGCGTGCGCCTGGGGAAGGGAAGGGAAGGGAAGGGAAGGGAAGGGAAGGGAAGGGAAGGGAAGGGAAGGGAAGGGAAGGGAAGGGAAGGGAAGGGAAGGGAAGGGAAGGGGTTATCCAGGACGCAGATGCCAACCTATATACTGCCTTGCTCCAAGAATTTTCTCTGACTCAACTAATCTGTTAACTGTCGGGAACACGCCAGTCGTCGCCCATCCCTCCCCCCCCCCCACCGAGCCCGCCAAAAACTGTCCCAACTCCCTCAAACGCCTGCGTCTTCTCCCTAACACACCCGTAAGTGCTGTCAAGAAGACAGAAGTTGAAAAAAAAAAAGAGTCGAAGGACAAAGCCGTGGCCATGAGATCGGACGCTGACAGGGGACACTGCACTATACAGAGTTAAGAATGAAAGCTTAGGCCGATTTCGATAAAATGTTTATTATGTTAGATTAAAATCCTTTCGCATTATTTTTTGTCTTTTTTTTTTAATTATACCGGCCAAGAAGGAGGCATCAAAAAGCCTGTGCGTGCATGTTGAGCGCCTGAGCTGCACTCCGCCCATTGGTTTTAGAATGGCATATCATTTTGGACCACCCTGTTAATCCCTCGCCACCTGTCCTTATTAGTTAAAGGTAAACATGTTTTGATGCAGTCATCTCTTCCCTCCTCCTACCACCCCCCCCTGTCCCCACTCAGCCCCCCCCCTCCCTCTCTGTCACATCCCCCTCGACTCCCTCCCTCCCTCTATCCTTCCTTCCATCCCTATCCACCTCCTTCACTCCCTCCCTCCCC